TTTACAACTTATATAACGATAATAGTCAGAGAACTGAATGCAAAAATCAAAAGAGAGAAAATATATCTCTCCCTTATTGATAAGCATAGTTTTCACAATAAATACCACCAATCGAATTAGAACCGAGTAGTCAGTTTTGCATGCACAAAACGTAAGCAGCTCATTCACAGGGCATATTCTCATTTTATCATACAAGAAGCAAATGTTATGCAGTGTCTGTAGCGAGGCGTCGCCACCATTCTTGTAGAGCTTACTAAAATTTGATTAGTTCCTGGTGATTTATTGTTTGTAAGCTTTTTAATGACTTTAGCAACCTCTATAATGATAGGTGGTGTTGCGTTTGGGTCGAATATACTCCAGTAATTTCGATCTGCTAGGTTGTTATCTGCTTCATGGATATGATGGCAATTAAATTTTGCGTCAAAGAATCCAATCCATCTGTTTAAGATTGATGCCGTATCACTTAGGAGATTTCCTTCTCCATCCTTATAGCTCCCTATTCTTGGCTTAAACTCGTTGCTCATTTGATTTAGATTTCTCTAGAACTTTCGAGTTTGATTTTAATTTCTTAGCCATTTTATAGTTAATAATTGCTTTCCCTCAAATTGCCTTTTTTCATCTATATGTAGGAAATATTTCTTATATTAAGTATTTAGCATAGTTTTATTTGCTAGTTACGCCACTGCGAGATACCACTAAAACTATAAACACTATCTTAAAGGTGCCACAGACAGGTCGCCACCGCGGGGAGAGAGGCAGGAAAAATATAGACCAAATCACACATGCCTGCCTAAAAGGGATTCGATTTTTGGGCACTCGAGCTGTGAAGGTTAAATATTGTGCAACGCCCGGCAGAGGAATGACGAACGACGTAAACAATTAACGACGAGGTTGTCCGATATTTTAATTTGCAGACGATTATCCGTAATCTTGTAATTTTGTGTGTACCTGTAAATACCATCCGTACAGTTTATTGTTATGTAATAAAGACGTATCGTTTGGATCGCGGACTTTTATTCTAACGTTAGTTCCCTTTGAAATAATAAAAGAACTTTTAAGTAAAAACCTACATTTTTAATCTTTTTTCTTTTCTTCTTAGAGTCCCGTATTCTTTCTTTGCTTTTCTTGTGCATCCAACTTGTGCGCTTTTGCTTTCCTTGGCACTCCTTGTCAAACCAATTACTTTATTTAACTGGCTTGGTTTTCCCCAATATTTCTATTGCCTTCTCAGATTATGTTTCTTAATTTTGTCCACAATTCCTCCACATTTTCCACCGCCTCCAGGCTCTCCATTTCGTCATCCGTTTGTCTCCTTTTCTCTCTCACAACTGTTTCAATGCGCAGATTATCAACATTAGTTCTGTCTTGTTTCTTATGTTTATCCTTCTTTAGGTTCTTTTAAAGGGATTTTCATTTTTCTTTGTGCATCATTTTAAGGGGAAATCTTGTTCTTCCTTTTATCATGTCTTTGGTACTTGCAAAGTTTATTAGACGGTAATATCCTAATATTATGCCCCATAACAATATCTTTATCATCAGTATCCAGCCTTCTGCGTCTAAAGCTGAACATAGGCCTCCTCTAATTTCTTCTAGTTCTGTCGGTCTCACTTCCTGCAGCCAATTCACAGCGATTCTTTTGACGTTATCTGTCGATCGTGTAGGTGGTCTACCTATGAATCTTCTGTCTGTTCTTGGTCTCCCCAATGTAATTTTTTGGGTCCACTGTCCGTCATTCATTCTGGCCACATGGTCCACCCAGTTCCATTTTAACATACTCTGTAATGAAAAAAATTCATTACACATGCATAACGAATAACTTATATAACAAATATATATAACAAATGAAAATACTAAGAAAAATAACCGGCAAAATTAGCACTTTAGCAATGAATTTTTTTATTCTAAAGTTGTTTTTTACTGCGATATAAAGGTTCCAAACTGACTAGGAAAGATATCCTTAGTACTGTTGGATTCGATCCGGAAAAAAACACACTCTAGGGCAAAGAGTATCGATTATAAATGCCGCATGCTCCACTGGCCAGATACCTGCCCAAACAGCACAAGTACGTCCCATGGACGTGTAAGGATGTACCTCATTAAATGTCCGGACATCCCACGGACATCCGTTTACATAATTTGGACGTCCCCGGGACGTCCAATAGGACCTAAATGTTACCAAAAAGTACGTCCCCTGGACGTCCCAGGGGTGTTCATGGGGACGTACATAGTACATATACAGAACTTAATACGGACTTATATAGGACCTAAGAAGGATGTATTGGGGACATCTATTGTACGTCCACATGGCTAATATAGGACCTAAATGAGGATGTATACAGAACCTAAAGGGAACTTAAAATTAATAAAATGAAAAGCAAAAATAAATGGGATTTTTATTGTGTACTTATATTAACATATGTATTTAAATTTATAGTATTTTTTAAGCACATTACTCCTACTTACTTTAGAAATATAGCAACACACCACAACCACAAAAATTACCTATAAAAGTCCTATATACCTACTTAATGTCTATAATAATAAATTACCAAACTATAAACTAGTATCGAAAGCAATAAACTAATTCTAATTACAACCACAACCACAATGATTATAATTCGAGAAATAAACGAGATAAATAGAAGCGTCGTTAAAACATAACCACATTCTTCTTTTATCTCCTAATTTTTAAATTTCAGTTCCACTACAGAACAAAATTTTAGAGATACAGCTCTGCTATAGGATAAAGATTTTTCTCTAAAAGGAGCCTCTGTCTGTTTTCGTATAAATTAATGGTATTTAAAACTAAATATAACTTTTTAAAATAAAGTTTAGTAGGAAGATTATATTTTGTAAAAAATATGCTTAAGTAAAAAAATGACACAGTTAACACCTAGAAAACGTCCCTAATACATCCCTAATGGGACGTCCCTTGGACGACCTTATGGGACGTCTCTGGTATGTCCGACTAGAAATATCCCTTGGACGTCCCTCGGACGTCAAAAAGAAGTCCCGGGACGTTTGGACATTAAAACGACATAAAATGGACGTCCCTGGGATGTCCTGTGCTGTCTGGGTGCCAACTTCAACCACCGTTTATTCGGACAAGGCACCCCCGGACTAGGTTAATCGGTGAATGAAACATTTTGATGTCTTGCGAAGTCTGGATATCCGATAGAAAAACTGAAAAAAATATTCTTAGATCTTGTTTTTTTTTTGTAAAGATAGACGATGGTACGATCTATTGGACGATGCTTTCGAGGCTTATAAGATGTGTTCTAGAATTGTTTTTTTTTTTTTAAATTTCTACTCACTAATGAACAGATAACTGTTATAACCGTTACCGTAAATCTTTTGATATTATCTGCCTCATGTCTTTTTGAAGTCTATACAAGCTATAAGGATTTCATATAGATTTTATTCAGTTCTGTGTGTATCTAGGGTTGGAAAGAACAGGAATGGCTGGAGTCATCGAATTGCTCCTACATAACGGAAAATGGAACACTAGATCGAGAAATTGTTCACAGGGTACAGGCTGATTGGTTTAATGTTTTAACTGGAAGCGAATGAGCGGGTACTATGTGATCAAAAAATAGGGGAAGGGCTGAAAGGAAAGATATATAAGAGTGGAATGAGGCCTGCGTTGGGGTATTGTGGTCTCGTGTGGTCTATATAGAAGGTTAGGAAAAGGAAAGATGGAGGTAGTTGAAATGAAAATGTTATGGTGGATGTTGAGTAAGAATAGAAATGGCAAAATCAGGGACAACGTGATTAGAGAAAGGGATGAAGTGACAACAGTTTCAAAAGGATCAAAAACAAAGACCGCAATGGTTGAGTCAGGTCGGGCGTGGAAATAAGAACTATGTGGGACGAATAATAGAGCTAATAGAAGTTGAGGTAAAAAGGGGTAGAGGAAAACCGAGTGTTAAAGACGAGGAGTCTAAGTCAGTGGTTACTTGTTTTCTCCTCCATTGTGTTGCTGAAGAGTCCGATAGTTAGTAGTCCCTGATTCACTCTTCTCTTGGTTTCTTTTTTGTTGTTTCTTGTGCATTTAATTCCCACGAGTAGCTAAAGAATGGGTAGTCCGCTCCTGCAGAGTCCCGTATGCAGAAGTAAGTCTATATACACAATGGAGTTTTGCACTGTTCTGCATGGCTACCATTCGTTATACTATTACCCCCAGATCCTACATGCCCTCGACACAGTAACTTATATTGCTTAGCAGTAGGGTCGAGCCGTTTCTTATTCGAGAGTCCCACTACCTAGCCTTTTGGCTGACGGGTGAGAGCTCTCTTAAGCCCCCTAACAAACAAAAAGGTCATACGGCTCCCAGAAGTGGTTCTAGAACTTTACCCAAAACCTTTTGCTGGCCCTATTGCGCCCGACAATTTTTTTATTAGGTTATGTTTTGATGTTTTTTTGTAGTAGGATACGGAGTTTTGAAGAAGCATGTATTCTACAACTTTCCCATTTTTCTGCCTTGCTGCAACCAAGACCCAAATAGCCTTGATCGTCCTCTTCATTTTTTACTTGCACGTGAGTCAGTACCACTTTGTTCTGTGTCAGAACTGCCATCTTTTTCTTCATACTCTTACTTAAGTGCTTTGAAATCTTTGTTTCTTTGGTGATCGTCATTGCATCTATTGTTATCGTCCACCTCATCCCATAACAGTTTAGAAATTCCTCGACATCTTTCTTATTTGTTGGATCATAAAACCGTTTTTCAAAGTAATAATGATATTTTTTAACAGAAGTACTCTGGTTTATCTCACATATATATATATCACATATAATGCTGTGAGGTATTTTTTTTATTATAAAATGAGAAATTAAAACAATAATAACAAATAATTTTAGAACACTCAAAACATTCTGCAATTATTTTTATAAAAGGAAAATTTTATATTTCACCAATTGAATTAAACTTTAACCTTTTTGATCAATATCTATAGTATTTGTGTAGCTAATAGCTAAATTATTATCTGTTTTATCTTTTTTAGAAACCTGGGTTCGAGGTTTGGGCTGCTTACCGGCACCATTATCAGGGCACTCTATGATTACGTTGCCCCCAGCCTCTTTAATATATTATTAATAAAGAAGTGTTAGGAGTTACTAGTTATGCTTATGAGTTTTTTATTTGAACATAGATATGGAATTTTCAATTAAAAATACTTATTGCATTTTTTCCTTTTAACTGGTCTAATCACAGATCACTATAAATTAACTATGTTCAAATACTCTTCGTTCAAGTTAGTGAAATAGATGGCGCTAAGCAGAAAGTTGGATTTACAGCATACAAATATTTATATACATATATATTATATTATTATAATTGTTTGATTCTTACCTTATTTTTGAATAAAATAGATTAATTGTTCTATTATTTATTTTTCTTCATTAACCTAAATATAAACCAATTTTCCACAATAATAAAATATTTTAATTTTGACAATTGATCAAGGATCCTTTATGGTGTAAAACGTACTTTACTTAGTTCTCAGCTCTGTGAATTGGGGTGCGGTGTGTTTATAAATTGTGAGTAAAAGTTAAAGCGAAAAATAGTGTAAACTATTGTGTTTTTGGTGTAAGGTAAATAATATATCAATTATCTTTAATTTTTTTATATTCATATTTTTTATAGTTCATTTAATATTCCATAAAAAGTCGTTGAACTCCAATGAATTTGTATACAACATGGTGGATTCTTATCTCTTTATGTGGTCGTAAGGTGCATTCCTTAGAGACATAATCTCTTGTTTACATAGTTTTATTCTATTTACTAGTATCTATCAACATAGCTTAGCGCTTTTTGTTTTTCTTATTTATTATGTAGTTTAAACAGTAAATAAAAAACAATAAATTTGTTCAATGTATGCTAATTAACAGAATTGTACACAGTGACTAATATTTCTAAGAAGTGGATTTTTGTATTCTATAGGTGTGACAATCTCACCAGATCACCATGAGTTACATGCAGTCTAACCAAAATAGACCAAGTAAGTATTTATTTTTCTATTTAGGTTAAATAACTTGATACAGGAAATGAACTTATATTATTAAATCCTAGGAATTCTTTATCATGTTTTTTACATTTTTGGTTTCTTATTGTAGAAATGTGAAAGCTTTAATGATGAGTTTTAGAAAATTCCTTTTGATCCATAAAAGTTTTGTTTAATAATTTGTCTGAAGTAGTACATGATAAGTACTTTGAATTTTTATTTTATTTGTTTTTTCACTATTGTACCTAAACTAATATTTTTAGTGTTGCCATTGATCATCATAATAAAGCCAATTTTTTGGAATAATCCTTTATTATAACTGTACATCCTAGAAGTACACAATACATAATAAACACAAATAAAGTTTGTTTTATGAAACTTGTTCTTAGCCCCTTTTGTACAATAGTTAATGACTAAATTTTATTGCTTCTCTTCTCTTCTTCAGCCTTCATTTATCCAATGTTGGACATAGGCGTCCTCCAATTGCTTCCACGCTTCCCTATCTTTTGAAATTCTCATCCTCTGCTTTCCAGCTACAGCAGTTATATCGTCTATCCATCTCTTTTTAGGTCTTCCCATGCTTCTTTTTGTTTCTCGAGGTCTCCAGAATGTCACTTTATGAGACCATCTGTTGATGTCTTGTCTTGCTACATGTGCTACCCATTGCCATCTCAATGTGGCTATTTTTCCCATGATGTAGGTTACTTTAGTTCTTCGACATATTTCGGTGTTAGGAATTTTGTCTCTAAGGCTTATATTTAACATGGCCCTCTCCATGGCCTGTTGAGTTACTCTTAATTGTTCTGCCATTTTTCTTGTTATTGCCATAGTTTCCAATCCATAAGTTGCAACTGGTAGTATACAAGTGTTGCAAGTGGTAGTATTTTATTGCTATTCTCCAATATTTCTTATTTTTATTGTCTTTCTTCTCTTCTCTCACTCATTAGTTCAATAGGATAATATAATTAGTTGTTTTAGCTTTCTGTTTCCTGATTTCCTTTCTGAGTATGTTCTAATTTATTTCTGTAAGTCATTCTGCCAGAACTGGTATTTATATGTTGTATAGTTTACTGTATCTACTACGATCATATTTCCTATACACCATTGTGTATAGATTGTATGTAGATTGTATAAAATGAGTGAAATCATACTCTAGGCATATTTAGAGTTACAAATCTGTCAGATATAGGCAAGTTGAAGTTTGAATGTGAATTTATGTTTTTTTTTAATTCAACAATTAATCAACTGCATCTAGTTTCACTGGTAAATAGAGAATTAAAATTAAATTTCATTTAGAAAGTTTATTTCTTTCTGTCAATGGTGGTTTTCAATATCAAATCACACATTTTTTCCAAAGTATCATGTCTGATTTTTCTTACAGATCTGATTGTCAGTATATTACAATTAAATGTTCATTCTGGTAAAATGTTTTCGAGCATATGATCAAAATGGGTGATAATACAAACATAAGTTCTACATCCAATATGATCTTGTGTTCCATCAAGCAAAAAATATCTCATAAAATAAACTCATGTTTATTATGCTAGTAAGGCGCTCATCTTTACTGTATGCCTACAGTTAGTGATTCTTGTTTCACTTGCAATTTTTACTGTTTGTATAGACAGTATACTTGTTGTGTGTGGGCAATAACTGTTTCGTGTCATGCGTTAAACTGTTTTAAAATGAGTGAAACACATAAAACGTAAGTACAAGTCAGTGAAACAAAGACTACAACCTCTGGAAAGACTGGACAAAGGAGAATATGTGCATAGTATTTGCAGAGATTTAAATGTGGGCAAAAGTACAATCAACAACTTAAGGCACAACAGAAAAACTAGCGAAGGCTTTTGAACACAGATTGAAAATGAACAAGTTCTACAAAAGTGGTGCACACTTAAAAAGCAAAACACAAATTGGTGGACGATGCTCTGTGGTTGTGGTTCATTCAAGAATGAAGATGAATCCCATTGAGTGGACCAATTCTAAAAGAGGAGGCTATGATCTTGCACTTAAAGCTTCAGCCAGAAGAGGCGTTCTCTGTTAGTGAGGGATGACTCTCCTAAAGAAAAAAGAGACACAGGGTCCATTTTATTGGAGTTTGTGGGGAGAAGCTGTCAGCAGACCCAACAGTGGCTAAAATATTTTAAAAATCTTTGGTGACCACAATGTGAGTCCAGAGCAAATCTACAACATCGATTAAGCTGGGTTAAATTTTACATTTCTGTCCAGAAAAACCTTTGCCACCGCACAAAAAACATCTGTGGCAGGATTTAAAGTCAACAAAGAGAGGCTAACAGTTGCTTTGTGTTCAAATACCCCGGGGTCCCACAAGATACCCGTATTTGCCATTAGCACAGCAGCAAAACTGAGATTGTTTAAGAACATAAACATAGAAACTACCAGTGTATTACTGGTCACAGAAATCAGCATGGATGGATACATATTTGTTCAGGGAATGGTTTGTATGCAAATTTGTTCTGAAAGTGAAAAGCCATTTGACAAAATTAAATCTGCCCATTACAGCACTTCTGCTTGCCAACGTGCTTACTCACCAGGAAGTGTGACAATGAAAAAGAATTAAAACTGCTGTTCCTGCCACCCAATGTTACCAGTCTTCAACTGTCAATAGACTGAGAGGTCATTGAGTGATTTAAGAGAAAGTATAGCCAAAAACTACTTTCTGATGTTCTTTTCAAACTGGAGGCTAATGACAACTTAGACCTCTTAAAAGTGCTGAAGTCAGGTAATATGAAGGATATTGTGTACATGTTGGCCAAGGCATACGAGAAATACCACTGTTGATGTTTGTTAAGTCTTGGAAAAGACTTTTGGCAAATATAGAAGATAAGATTGACAAGCAGACACATCAGCAGATGAGCCAAACAACATTCTTAACAAATCTGATGACAATGCAGCTCTATTGCATGATCTTCAGCAACTACCAAACTGTGGTCCCATTGTTGAAGAAGATGTTTTAGAGTGGATCAACTGTGAAAAGGAGTTACACAATAAGGTTTTGAAAGACAATGAAATCACTGAGTGTGTCATTCGCCAAGAAAATGAGAAGGATAACGACACAGCTGCTGCTATAGAAGCTACAAAGCAGCTTTGTAACTGACAGCTTCCTATGCAGAACAGCAAAAAAAAACTGCCATTGATGTAATGATTATTAAAAAGTGACGTGACTTTGTACTTAAAAAATCATTAGAAAAGAAAATTCAGAAAATAATTACATATACCATACAAACAATAAATTGGCATTTTTTAGATAAGCATTGGATAGTTCAGCCACTTTTAAGTTCGGCCTATAGTCTGGTCCTGAGTTGGCTGAACTTACGGGTTCTACTATATGACCTACTATATAAGTTTTCCCTGTGCATACACCATGCCAAATTTTACCCAAAAAATATAATTTAGACCAATAGATAGTTACAAGTATATTAAAGTATATTTTAGATGAAGATTTATTGTTTTATTTAGAAATATATTTTGTAACAATTTGCTCAATACATTTAGTGAATTCAATTACTTATTTCATATAAACAAAATGCTATATTCTCTTGTATATTGTGTGATTTTTGTTTTATATACAGTAGAAATTCTAAAAGTTGAACATCAAGGGAGATGCCAAAAATATTTGAGTTATGGAGGATTCTGACTCTGGTGAATTTTGAATTGAAATAAAGAGGTTGAGATTAATTCTTATTACTTTGAGTTACAGAGGCGAAATAAATAAAAATTCAAGTTACAGAAGTCGCAATCATATTTTTATTTATTATAAATCAACATTATTTCAAAACATCATGGCATTGAAAAAATTCAGTAATTTTTTTGCTTTAAATAATTCAGTTCTCTATATATAGCAGTGTCTAAGGCAAGCAGAAAATTCTTGTTATTCCTAGTCGATGGTTTGCTCTATAAAATTCTGTAAAGTATCCAATGGTGTTCTTGCCTCTTTGATGAAAACACATAGAGCATGTATAAATATAAACTAGTGATCAAAATTCTGGAAACTACAAAAAATTGTGTTTCCAGCAACACTCATCTTATGATCATGATTTATATATTTTATCAGTACAATTACATTTGTATTTTATTGTTCTATATTTCTGCTTAATATTTTACGTGTTTCTTACTCTATATACATTTACATAATTATTTAATAAAATATAGAAGTGGATTCAAGTGAAACACTGAAAATTCGAGATTTGTTAAAGGCAACACTTTCAATAATATATCACATTAGAGTTTGGCTAGTCAGTCAATGACAATCATTTAGTCCTCCAAGCCGATGATTTAGTCATCCAATAGGAAGGCAACTTTCAGTGTTTATCAGTAACTTCAACTAGTTGTTACTAGGGGGATAATTTTTAGTTGTCAGAGGGGAACACCTCAGTCGATTCTATGAAAATGGCTCCCAGAAATCCAAAACTTCTTGACTGGTCACCAGAAAAGAGAGCCAAAGCAATTAGCCTTCCTGAAAAAGGTTACAAAAATGGAGAAACGGCAAACAAATTGGGCGGTGGCGCCATAAAATCATGTGTAATGAAAGTTTTTAAACATTGTTAATGGAATACAAAATCAGCAAAAGAACAGGCAGAAAACTTTAATCAATAGCATGAGCACAGAATTTGCTGCTTGTCTTTATAAGATCGTCGCAGATCCGCAAGACATTAATGCTATTGTCAAATTGCTTAGAAATATCAGACCATATTATCTGAACAAAATTGTGTGAAAGATCCCCTAGAAAGAAGCTGTTTCTGAACAAAAACCAGAGGCAAATTGATAGAGCTTTGAGATAGTGAACAGAAGAATAGTGGAGTAAGGTAATTTGGACTGATGAAACCATAATCTCGATCTTTGGGAGTGATAGTGTGAAGACTGCTGACTAGTAAAGACCTTATGCCGCAGTGTACTACAGTCACTATGAAGCACTCTATTAGTGTCATGGTATGTCATAGTCTCACATGGCATTAATTGACGGCAATATTAATGCAAAAAAATATCAGGAAGAAATACTTCAAGCCATATGGCCAAGACTTCCATGGAATGGTTGAGAAATCATAATGTTAGTGTCCTGCAGTGGCCTAGAAGTAATCCCGATCTTAATCAAATAGAAAATGTATGGTCAATGTTGAAAGTATTAGTATCACATGGAAAAATCCAAGTAGAGAACTTATAGACACCATTATACAAAACTGGTTTAGAGTTATTAGACCAGAAGATTTGACTCATCTCGTGAACTCCACATTTCGCAAAATCGAGTTTGTGCTAATAAAAGATTATCCCACCAAAGACTAATTTTCTTCAGAAGCACCTTTGTGCTATTCTGTCTAAATATATCTACTAATAGCTAACGGCTGTTGTTTGATTTATTTTTAAATTTTTGGATGGTTTGCCCCCTTAAAAAACAATAAATATTGCATTGAAGCATAAAATGATCCAATAAAATTATAAATAATATTTTATATAACATATATGTTGTTGACTAAAGAGGAATGCTGATAACAAAACTAAAATTTTGTAAACTTTCCAAAATTTTGGCCACTAGTGTATGATAAATAGTTAATCATTTTTTTTACAATTCACATTGTTAGACTACAATGAGTTTTTCGAAATAATATGGCAAAGCTCTTTATCTTTAACTTAGGTAACTTTAACACAACACCTTTCAGTGATTCCTTGCAATTTTAGAAATTTCTTGTAATTCATAATTCTCCTTTAAGTGTCATCTCTGCTTTAAAGTTTGACTATCAACATATCTTAGATTAACGAAACTGGTTTCGTTAATCTAAGCAACATATCTACTACTTCTATAAATCCACATTTCGAGTCTTTCATATTTTATGAACTTTGATCAAATGAAAAGACAGATACCGTGCACAGTTTACTAATTAAATCTTGCCCAAGTACTTTCGCTTCCTAGAGCATCTTCAGGGGCATTTCGTCAATTTTGGCCTATCCAACAATCTGTTGAGAATGTCATAAACATAAAATTGTACATTACACTACACTACACAAGGACAAAAAGTTTAAAATGAAATAAAAAATAGGCAGAGCTACATTATGGTTGGCATCAGGAGAGTGATTCTCTCTCCTGATGCCAACCATAAGGGTGGCCACACACAGAAAGAGCAAAATTGTTTTAGTCAAAAACGTTTTTGACTAAACGAGTCTAATGCTGATGTTTCCATATAAATGAAATGAGCTGACGCACACTGATTAGTCGTGTGTCTAAATCATGTTTAGGCTCATTTAGTTTTAGTCAGTCTGTTTGATGTTGATTACCGGATCGTCGTTTTGTGTCGAAACATTTCAATGTACGCAGACACATGTTTTTGGAATCCCCTTCTTGAAACCGCTCGCGTAGTCAACAAGAAGCACATGTGGAAACAACGATATTTAGCTTGTTTATATTGTGTGTATCATGGAAGTGGACGCAGAAAAATTAATTGTACTGATTGAGGCCAGACCCCTTATATAACTATCAATTAAAAGACCATCACACTCAAAATTTGAATCACAAAGACTGGAGAGTTTTTTCAGCAGTTCTTTTCTTATTTATAGGTTCACCCAAAATTGTCTTTTATTTTTCGTTTTTTCGTCCTGTAGGAGGAACCACTGCCAGAAAACTAGTGCAATTTCGTCATTATCTGTCGACATCTTTAATAAAACTGATTTCAGTATGGTTTGTGCAAACATTTTGTTTCTCTTGAAAACAAAATGTTTCTTTTGGAAACAAAAACGTTTTCGTTTCAAACAAAAACGTTTTTGACTAAAACAGTTTTGCTTTTTCTGTGTGCGGCCACCCTTATGTAGCTTCGCTCAATACAGCATTTGGAATTTGGTTTCTTAGAAATTGTTATGATTGTGTTATCATCATCCATAAAACAATTATGTATGTATATGTAACCTAGTTCGATTACCATCCTTGTCATATTGATTTTATGTGTGAATTTGTATTTATTATATGTGTTTCAGAACATTTTTGTGTTACTTCAATGCCACTATTATAAACTTTTTTGTCTTTGTTTTTACTTTTCCTTTTTTTTCCTTTGTAATTCATTATTTTGTGAGATCCAAGTTAAATTTCATTAACAATTTCATTTTATGTGCATCTATCTCTATTAATATGTTAAATATTTAATTGTTGGCAAAACAGGTGAAAAATGAAATTATGAGAAAGAAATGGCAAAATGTGTAAATAATTCTATTGTACAGCAAAAAATCTTACAATAAAATGCATTTCTTAATCTTTCAATTATTTTTTATTAATGAAATCATTTATTTATTCAGTGTCTCAAAGCTACCATCAGGGTCCCAATGACCTGCCCATGCAGTCTTCTAAAGAACAGACTTTACTATGGCAGCAAAACTCATACATGGGAGACTCTGGTATACAATCTGGGGCTGCTACACAGGTACCATCACTGACAGGTAAAGAGGAAGAAGAAATGGATCTGTTTGATTTGGATCAACCCTATCAGGGTTTTACTCAAGAGCAGGTTGATGAAATGAACAATCAACTGAATCATACTAGGTCCCAAAGAGTTAGAGCTGCCATGTTTCCTGAAACTTTGGATGAAGGTAAATTAGTAATGATGATGTACAAATATTATTTATTACAATTTACATTTTATGTCATGTAGGTATTGAAATCCCTTCCACACAGTTTGATCCTAACCATCAAACAGCAGTCCAACGTTTGGCAGAACCTAGTCAAATGCTCAAGCATGCTGTAGTTAATCTTATTAACTATCAAGATGATGCTGACCTTGCTACTAGAGCAATACCAGAATTGATCAAGCTTCTTAATGATGAAGACCAAGTAGTAGTATCTCAGGCAGCTATGATGGTCCACCAACTATCCAAGAAGGAAGCATCTAGACATGCTATTATGAACAGTCCTCAAATGGTAGCTGCCTTAGTAAGAGCTATATCAAACTCTAATGACTTGGAGACTACCAAAGGAGCTGTTGGTACCCTACACAAGTTATCACACCACAGACAAGGTTTACTTGCTATTTTTAAAAGTGGAGGTATTCCAGCACTTGTAAAATTGCTCAGTTCTCCTGTAGAAAGTGTTCTTGTCTATGCTATTACCACTCTTCACAACCTTTTATTACATCAAGATGGATCTAAGATGGCTGTTAGACTTGCAGGTGGTTTGCAAAAGATGGTTGCACTACTCCAAAGAAACCATGTAAAATTTTTGTCAATTGTTACTGATTGTTTGCAAATTTTGGCTTATGGTAACCAAGAGAGCAAATTAATCATTTTGGCAAGTCAAGGACCTATTGAATTGGTCAGGATCATGAGATCTTACGATTATGAGAAGTTGTTGTGGACTACTTCTAGAGTTCTGAAAGTAAGTTAAATAATATTATTCATGTTAATGTTAATGTTAATGGAATTATTTTGTAGGTTCTTTCAGTTTGTGCTAGTAACAAACCTGCTATAGTTGAAGCAGGAGGAATGCAAGCTTTGGCAATGCACTTGGGAAATCCAAGTACAAGATTGGTTCAAAATTGTCTCTGGACATTGAGAAATCTATCAGATGCTGCTACGAAAGTTGATGGGCTAGAAAGCTTATTGCAGTCTTTGGTACAAGTAAGTATTCTTCATCTTAAATTATATGTTGCAATAGTTTAGTTGCCTCTACTTTAGCTGCCTTAATATTGGTGTTAGTTATAATGTAGTTACTTTAATATGGAGCCAATACGAAATTTGAAAATGTATAATTGTTAATTTAAAATGTTAATTTTATCTCAATTGTCATGGAGGCTAGAGGAAAAATAAAGTTTAAATTAATTTTAGCTTGTGGTAGGGGATAAAAAATTAAATGCCTAAAGGCATCACTGATAACTGATTACTGTGATAATTCTTATGTGCCACCTGACACCCAAAGGCATCAGAAATCTGTACTTATAAGAGCCTTCGCAAAGGAATGTAAACAAACTTAAAATTAAAAATAAGAACTTTATATCTGAACACAAAACAGATTTCTTACATCAATTTATATTTTTTACTCATGATATATTATGCAACAGTCTAAATATAGACATGAATACAAACTTGGGATAAAAAACCAAAATCAGAAATGTATAAATTGAACCTTTATTCAGGTGTCTGCAAATCAAGAAATAACTATGCAGTAGACTTAGTAAGGCAAAACACCTTATAGAAACAGTAGCACCTGACTCAAGTTAGCAAAACGTCTTTTGGTGACAGGTGGCTTTAAAAATATTAAATAAGATTAGTGTATTTATTAAGTTATTATCGCTTATTTATAAGTTTAATCTTTTTAGGTATTAGCATCTTCTGATGTCAATGTAGTGACATGTGCTGCTGGTATTCTTTCCAATCTGACTTGTAACAATCAACGCAATAAAGTAACTGTTTGTCAAGTGGGAGGGGTTGATGCACTTGTGCGCACTATAGTCAGTGCAGGAGATAGAGAAGAAATCACAGAACCAGCTGTTTGTGCACTGCGTCATTTGACATCCAGACATGTGGAATCAGAAATGGCACAGAATGCTGTCAGGCTCAACTACGGAATGCAGGTTTGTTGTGTTTAAATTAAATAACATATTGTGCCAGATGTAGACAGTAAGGTTCTTTTTTTGTATAGTAGACAAAGTTATTTCCATTAATTGTTTGCCTTAGCTTTATAATTGAAAAACTACTTCCTTACTCTTCAGACAATTTCTAGTTCCATATTTCGATGGCTAAAGTGCAAAACCTCGTAAGTCAAAATTTTCCAGTTTTGGGATTAATTTACCAATAATTTTTATATATTGCTATCTATTAAACTACAAATCCTCATAAGTCTATTTCAACATTAAGACCTCTAGTGACATCTATCAAAAACTAGTAAAAACTCTTTAGCAAAAAGTGTAAAGCAGAAACCTATTAAGTAGGACTTACGAGTTTTTTATATTTACATTTGCTCGGATATTTTATGTAGTAATACAATGTTGTGAGGTTTTACCGGAATGCGGCAAGTGTTTTTTTAGGTTTTGTGTTTCACTCTTGTGAATAAACGCAGTTTTGTTGTTTTGTTTTGAAAAATATGTCTTGTAGTCGTGGAAAAACAATTTTGAATTTAGTGTTGCAAGCTGATACAGATGGGTAAGTGATTTTTTGCCTTTTTCTTATATTTTTATTATTATTTATCGTTTGAGGTTAAGTCTGCTTTCTTTCTCACTGAAAAAGTAGGGCATGGTGTAAATTACAATAAAGCAAATAATGATTGTTTATAAAATACTTTTATGCAAACGTGAATTATAAGAGTTAACGTTATGCCATTGAATTATAAAGTTATGAAAATATTGGTTATGAATTTTATAGTGATTGTTATGACTATTGAAATGTAAAATTCCACTAAATTAGGTATACTTATCTTAAAATCTTGACAAATGTTTCAAGAACTCAGGTTCTTATCAATAGGTAAATTAATTATTAATGAATTCAACTATGTACTATCAATCTTCTGATGATTGAGTTCTTAAAATAATTGTTAAATTTTTAAGATAGGTATTCTTAATTTAGTTTAATTTCATATTTTAATAATTTATTGGTTATGAATTTGATGTTTTTTACAGTACAATACAGAGTAGCAGCTCAGATGAACCTCAAGAAGTTAATAGCGTGGTCGAGGAACCACCATCAGCGGTATCAAATAACGTAAACATAACCACTGATATGCCAAATTTTCAAGATGAAAATTCCGATAGCGAACCTTTCCAAGATAGTGGATCGGAATATATGGCATCAACCGAGTCCAATGAATCAGATGAAGAAACACATAACCAGTCGCTAAATGAATTACTAAATGAGACAGAAACAGTAACATCGCCCATAATGAGAAAAAGATCAAGGAAATCTGACGTCAATTATTTAAACTGGGAACGAAATAAAAATAAACTGAAAAGAATGAAGGGAGAATCATACCAATCCTGTCAACTAGATAAAGATGACAACAAGTATAAAAAAATTGAACGAGACGAGCGAAAGATGGGACCTCCATGTCAATGTAAGAATTCGCAAAGATCTCTAAAATTTTTTTGCAATATTTTTGAAGACGACGACAGAAAAAATATTTTCAATATGTTTTGGAAAAATTTGGACTGGAATCAGAAGAAAATTTATGTTACCAGCCTTGTAGATAAAGAACCGGTGAAGTATCATCGAACAGGTATTTATAAAAATTTGTTTCCGTAAATCACATTTTACAAACCTTCATTGCATTTCAGTTACTCCAGAAAAGCAACGAAGTACTTCGTATATTTTTTTCCTTAAGAAATCCAATTCTCGAAAACGGGTATGCAAGAAAATGTTTCTGCAAACATTAGGTATAGGCGAATGGAGTGTGCAAAATTGGATTAGTCAAGGAGAACAAAACATTGCAGTTCAAACTACAAAGAGTTCAAGAAAAGGCAAGATATCCGAAGATAAAGCCTTCCTAATCCAGTTTTTAGAGAAAATTCCAAAAATGGAGAGCCACTACTGTAGGAAAGACACTAATAAATTGTATTTAGATACACAGTGGACCAGCGTTAATGAACTATACAAATTTTATACCAATGAGTGTGTGGCTGCAAAGATAGCCAAACTGAATAATACAACTTTTCGTCAGGAGCTCGATAAGCAACGTATAGCCTTATTTAAGCCAAAGTAAGTTAAGCATACAGAACAATAGAAAACGTTTTTTTTTTGTTACAAGAATTTTTATTTTTTAGGAAAGATCAGTGCGACACTTGCACTGGGTATTCTGTCGGCAAAATAAATGATGAACAGTTTCAGCAGCATTTGGAGAAAAAAAATTTAGCTCGTGCTGAAAAGGAAAAACTAAAAGAAGAGGCTAGTAAGGACAACAGTAAACTTGTTTTGACTATGGATGCACAGGCAATATTAACAGCACCAAGATTACAAGTATCAGCTGCATATTATAAAATGAAGCTAAATGTTCACAACTATAGCTTCTATAATTTATCCACTGGCAAAGGCCATTGCTATGTATGGCATGAGGGTTCAGGTGGGGTTGAAGCAAACGAGTTCACTTCCATTATCATAGATTATATCAAAAGAAATTTATCTCCTGCTACTAAATCCGTTGTTTGCTTCAGCGACGGATGCTGCTACCAAACTCGAAATGTTACGCTTTCGAATGCTCTTTCTTACTTATCAAGAACATCAGGTGTAGAAATATTTCAATATTATCTAGAAAAGGGTCATACTCAAATGGAGTGTGACTCGATTCACGCGTGTATTGAGCGTAAACTTAGAAATCGTGTCGTGTATGTACCGGGATGCTATGTTGACATTTGTAGGTCTGCTAAGGCAAAAGATTCTTATGAAGTTGACTACTTAAATTATTCCTTTTTTAAAGATTACTCGGTAATCAAAACATTTTCTTCAATTCGTCCTGGCAATACTAAGGGAGATCCTAAAGTAACTGATCTTAGAGCACTGGCATACCGTTGTGATGGTGCGATTGAGTATAAATTATTATACCAGGACCATTGGACACCATTACCAAGGCGTACAAGAGCAATTCAAGATAATTTGGATATACCCCAATTGCATAACGCTCCTCTAAAAATTAAGCCTGATAAATTTAAACATCTTCAAGAATTAAAAAACTATATTCCAGAAGATTTTAGGCTATTCTACGACAACTTATCTCACTAACTCAAACTTTTTTTTATTTTTTTTTGTATTTCTGTCGAATAAAGTTTTTAGTTTTGTTCGTATTGTTTCATTAATATTTTTTAATCATCTAATTAAACAAAATATTGTATTAAAATCCTTAACCAGATAATACTCTTCATGTCAAAACATCGCAAGTTGAAAAATGATTTAAAAAAAATACAACAAAACCTCGTAAGTCGATTTTTTTTTTGAAAAATCAAATCCAATTTAATGTACTTGCATACCATTAAAAAGAGGTGTAATTATAATTTTTTATATCGCTAACACCAAAACGGGAACGCCTTATTAAAAAAAGTAATCAGTTTTTTGTCTCTCCTGTAAAATTTATAAAATTCGACTTAATAGGTTTTACACTTTAGCCATCGATTTGTATTAAGTTTAAGATAGGATTTCCTCTTAACCACTGGATTTAATATCATTTTAACCTACTGCGTTAATTGACAAATTTTCTTCAAAGATACCCATATTTTCGTAGTGATAGTAACAATTTGCACTATGCCTGCAAAAATTTAACATCATCTTTTTGGTGTAATTAAGTTTCAAATTTTATGGAGTCTTGAAAGACTGAAAAATACATTTTGTATTATTTGAACTGGCCAAGAATGTAACAAAATCCATTTGTATAAATAGTTCGAGCATAAATATAACATGTACAATTTTATTTGTAGGTTTTTGCAAACACGGTGAGTAAATCCTATAGTAGAACATAAATTTTATGATTTTATTATACTGATACTGTGATTTTTTTAATAGATTATTGTAAAACTGTTGAACCCACCCTCCCGTTGGCCATTGGTGAAAGCAGTGATTGGTTTGATCAGAAATTTGGCTTTATGTCCTGCCAATCATGCCCCGTTGAGAGAACATGGTGCAATACATCATCTTGTACAGCTGTTAATGAGAGCCTTCCAAGATACACAGAGAGTAAGTGTTATAAAACAGTTTATTTTTTTTTAGCTAAGCAATATCCACGATTATAAAAATGATTTGATATATATATATATAATATATATATATATATATATATATATATATATATATATATATATATATATATAATATATATATATATATATATATATATAATAATTTCAATTTTACTTCTTCAAGCAAAGAGCAAGTGTTGCGAGTGGCGGCAGCCAACCACCTGGTACATATGCAGATGGTGTGAGAATGGAAGAAATTGTGGAGGGTACAGTGGGAGCTCTTCACATTTTATCAAGAGAGTCCCATAATCGTGCCATAATAAGACAGCAGATGGTTGTGCCCATATTTGTGCAGCTACTCTTCAATGATATTGAAAACATCCAACGTGTTGCAGCAGGAGTCCTTTGTGAATTAGCAGCTGACAAAGAAGGAGCTGAGATGATAGAACAAGAAGGAGCCACTGCACCCTTGACTGAGCTTTTACATTCAAGAAATGAAGGTTTGTACATATGCTTATCTTTTAAATGTAACACCAGATGAAAAGATTTCCTTTTTTTGTATGCTTTATTCATTATCAATGATCAATCTTCATGAAGCTTTTACCTTTATCATGATAGATATATCATCAGTTTTAAGTTTGTTTGCTTCGGTATGGCTATACCTTATAATGATTTGTAACATTTTAATTACTCTTTATAAATTGGTTAGTAGTATATTGCAATCATCAATGTCAACTAGAAAATCCAACACTTCATCATTCTCATATTTATGTATATTTATTATACTGTTTATTCCATAAGTTTTACAAATGTTTTTTGATTTTCAATTACTAATTTCATAGTTAACAGATGATCAGTTGCGCCGAATCCTTTATTGAATCCAGCTTGCTGGTTTGCCTGTTAGTTATTCCTTTGAAAGTTATTATGTATGGAATATAACATCGTTTAAACGTGGAGGGCATCCGAAATGTAAAATTTTTCATGATTGGCGCACAGATCGTTAACTTTGAGGACTTCTGTGGTTTTTGGCTTATTCACATAAAAGATCACAAGAAAGAGTCTAAAGGGGTCAATTCCTACGATCTCGGTGGTTTACATCACTCCAAGTGTCCTCTAATGTCAAAATGTGGCAGGAGTTGTGAGACAAGTAGCGCTGTTCTATTGAAACCACATGCCGTTTGTGTCTATATTACCAAATTCAAGTCAAAGGAAGATCCACCATCCCAAAATCCACACTAGACAGTGATTTTTCCACAATGCATTGGACGCTCTTTGTTCTCATCTGGATTGATATCATCCTAAATTCGACAAATCTATTTGTGGGCGTATCCATCCATCCAAAAATCGCCTTCATCGCTGAAGATGAGTTTTTAGTGAAAATTAGGTCAGTTGCTCTGACTACTGTAGCTCCAGAGTCCATTCACCTCCAGTGAACACACGTCGTTGTCTATGGTCGTTTACTTTAAACTTCGAAGTTCGTTGAATTTTATACGGTTGCAGGCCCAAGTCACGACGCAAAATTCGCCCAAGTAGTGGTGTGTGAAAGGCTTTGAGTTCTTGTGAGCCACGTGAAATCAACTTCCTTGGATTCTTCATCATTCATGTTTTCGGCATATATTGAGTTTCGCCGACATACGGGTGATGGTTGATTTTGTCTGACTTAGTGGACTTAATTTATTTCCTTCACTGCTTAGTCCAACTGATAGACGATTGTGACTGTAAAGTGGGCAAAGCGTGCGGAACGTTGCGCGGACAGAACACTTAATTTGATACAACTATTTTATCATTTGCTCATGTTGTTTTATACCCTCTCTAAAACATACTGAATACTCTTTATTTGTTTGTTAACAAGAAGTAATCTATCTTGTTTTTGATGGTACTGTCTGGTCCTTTCACGTCCACTTTCGTTGAAGCTTCTTAAAAAAAAAATGAATTCATCACAAAAAGTTGTTTCTAGTCCAAAAGGTCTCTCTTCACAAAAAGTAGTTCATCGGTATATGATCTCTATCATTTCTTTTATGACATCTACTTTGCCATTTGGCTATCATATGTATTTATTTTGTTTCCTAATTTGGAATTAAATTCTCCTATTATGTATACTATTTTCGTCTAGTGCGAGATTGGCATATTCAAACAATTTTTTAATTTTATCAATATACTTACTTTTTGGATCATATACTTGTATGATTTTAAGCATGTTCTTTTTATTTTAGGTATAACACACGCCACATGATTTGATATACTTTTTGTAACCTGTTCTAGTTAAATGAGCGTTTTATTTATGATGCGTTATCTTGAATTTATAGCAAAACCATATTTCTGCAAAACCAATGATATCTTTGTAAATTGGATAGCTCTTCTAATTTTTGTATCTTCTCTATTCATGAATTTTAAATTGTAGGTTTAAACACTTGAATTTGTGGAATGTTTAGTTTCACCAGAATCCTTGAGGCAGGATCGGATTGCCGGTGTGAGATTGCAAGTGCTTATTTTGTAACTGGTAGATCTGTTAAGACATCAGCTCTGTTAAGGAGCAGGACGGGAAGTAACTAATCAACGCTTAGTTACGGTACGGGTTCGGTCTCAGATCAAAACTCGACTGGGTTCGGGAGCTGCTACTAGATCAACACGCTGGCTAGCCAAAGGCCCGGTGGATTTCCAACCAGATCGGTACTCTGGCGGAACTCTATTCTCTCATGGGGAACACCGGGAATAAAAATGCTTTTATTAAAAAACTCGACATATTCCTTGAAGAGGTTTTTTGACATTATTCGCCACGCTTCTCAGACGGGTAGGCGACTTCTTCTAACCTGAAAGAACAGAATTTTCTATTATTTGGGTTTATTCCAATAACAGACATAATATACTATTGTTCAATTTTGTTTCTTATAACAATGATTATTTAATGAATCATATATTTATATATTTTTTTCAAACTTCCTTTCTTTTGCATTTCTCATTAATGCTTTAATTATAAAGTTATGTAGCAGTAGAATAATTATTTTACCTTTTGTAGGTGTCGCTACATATGCAGCAGCTGTTTTATTCAGAATGAGTGAAGATAAACCACAGGACTATAAGAAACGACTATCTATGGAGTTAACGAACTCTTTGTTTAGAGAAGAGAACCTATGGAATCCAGACCTAGGGATGGGCCCTGATTTACAGGTAGGTTAATTTAAAAATCAGTACCTAATGAAATTTTACCATTATCCCTTATAAAAAGTACAACTTGGATATACCTTTAAGAATTTCAAAATTATTATCTTAAAATAATGATTATATAATGAAAGGTATGTATAGTACTAAAAACCTATTAAGCATGTTTTTATTTTTATCAACGCTAAATATATCGTTTGAACATTATTTAGCATTCTTTTCATTAGAGTGTTTTCAGTAGAGTATTTATTGCATTTATATTTTTATTTTTTATTTTGTTTTTTGCATTTTTTGTTGCTCGTTTTTAGGATATATTGAGTCCAGATCAAGCTTATGACAACATGTACGCACAAGGTCCCCCTAGTGTTCACAGCAGCCACGGCGGTAGGCCTTACCAGCAACAAGGTAGGTGTTGGTTATAGTTGTTTATTTATTTTTTATCAATATTATTTTTATTAATAAATAAATTATTTAATTGGATAACAAAATTAAACCGAACAACATAATCACTTCTCCAGTTATATTTTTTAGTTATTGAAAGTCTCATTATTTAATTATTATGTCTCATTATTATAAGAAAAATTAAAAAGTTCAATGTTCACTTTTTAGACAGTTAATATTAAGATATGCTATTTCCTACACAATTTATATAGTAAACTAGGTGCAGATGTGTATTCTTCAACCAAGATGATCTTTCGACTTGTATAAATTTTTTTATATCAGTCTTAAATGCTCACTCCTATGTTTTACTGTTTTGTACTTCCGTTTACTACAATTTCCTAATGACTGCTTTTAAATTGGGCATGCTGTTGATTTTAAATACAATTTAACAAGAAAATTAGAATATCTCGGACATATTACACGTGGGGAGAAATACACCTTGCTCCAACTTATTATGCAGGGAAAGATCCAAGGAAAGAGAAGCATGGGGAGGCGTAGAATGTCATGGCTGCGCAACCTAAGAGAGTGGTACGGATGTACATCAAATGAACTTTTTAGATCAGCCGTCTCAAAAGTCCGAATAGCTATGATGATTGCCGACCTCTGCCGCGGAGATGGCACTTGAAGAAGAAGATGCTGTTGATTCCTTTAAGTTTTTTTTTTGCTTTAGGATGCATGTCGACACAACCAGAAGTTAATTTTATAAAAATGATTTTACGCGAGGATAAAGGTCAATTTATACATGTCAGTGCCAAGTCCGGGTATTTTTGAGATTGATCAATTCAATATCGAAGAGCTTTGAGCCTTGTGACGGGTATTATTCATACAAAAAAAAATTAACAAACATAATAAGACTAAATGCAGGTTACAAATGTTATAAAAACTAAATTGAAAAAAAAAAGAACCCAAAAAAGAAACAACAAAATTCAAATAAGGAACCCATGTAAAAAAAATTGATAAGAAAAAATTTATGAGAAATAGAAAACTTTTTAGCTGGGTAAAAAACCAATTTATATTTATTTAAACATCGTATGCAATCATAAATTTAAGATTTTTTCACTGTCAAAATCTGAGCTACTCATGTTACCAGTGTCTATTATGGTTGGTTGAATGCTAATGTCAACCATATTTTTGTCACGGATTTACCACTTTTTAATAATTTCATGACTCAATCTCAGCACTTCATGGCCGTTTTCCCTTAGTAGCTCATCAATTATATACAATATTCTGTTTCATGTTCTTTTTTTTTGTAATTTGTATTAATTCAAATTTAGTGTGTTTTGCGTCATACTTGATGTTTTTTGTTGTTAACTGGGTAATACTTTCCATTGATCTATCACAATTAATGATTGCTCTTCTAAATTGGAAGTTGATTGTTCACTTATCCATTTTGTGAAAATTTAATTGTTTATTTTTATATGATAATCACCTCCTTTAGATTTTGAACAAATTAATAAATTTGTTTCAGTAACAAATCCTTTAAAAGAACTAGTGTGAACAATTATAAAACATTTACCATCATACTTTGCTTTATTTCTCATTGAATAAATCACGTGTCGTCCAAAAAGCAAGGTTTCTGGGATGCACAATACTAAGATTTTGCATAGATTTATGAAGGAACTTCTGCTTAAAACATTACTACTGGTACGCTCAATGAATGCTCTTCGATTATTATCCGTTTTGAATTTAAATTCCAATTCTTTTACAAAATGCTAACACATGTTTTAGAAGGAAGTTTGTTATAGTCACTAAGAATCAAAATACTCAGAAAACACTTGATTTTAGATGTTGTGATTTTAGGATCAGGTTGGTTTTTAAATTGTGCATGCTTTTTGGTTTCTTGAATTAAGAATTTTATAACTTTTACTATCAAAAAATTGCTCAAATAGGTCTACACACAACATATTTTCAAATATTTTATAGACTGTATCAGACTGTGCAGGGGAAAAGTATGACATCTATTTTGAAGATCAAACTTAATCCACTTGTGTTCCATTTTGTTTCTGTAGATGCTGATTAATCCACTCGCATTATTTTACAACTGGAAGGAGATGCCTCGTCAATAACCATCGCTAAGCACGTTGAAGTTGATCGGCTAAGTCATCATGATTATTTCCACCTATTCGTTCATTGTTCAACAATTTTATTCCAGCGGGTGCCCGTAACTGACGACCTGTTAGGTTATGAGACGTTACTCCTTCATCCTCGTTTGCTGAATCTTTATCAGCATCGATATTTACCTCAGGATGCTCATTATACATATCATCCATTTGATTTGCCATATAATGAGCATATATTAAATCTAGTGCTTCCGATCACGAAAATCTTTTCTTAAAAACAAAAATAAATAAAACTACCACAAACAGTCAGTGATACCATATTGTATTATTAAGTAATAACCTTATTATTTAATACGACATATTAACATAGGTTAATATGTCCATTATACCGTGATAGACTTTTCTTTCCACATCATTTAGACGAACTCACATCGGCAACAATTACATAACTTGTTAATTTAATATTTTCGAAAACTGTTCTCTTCCCTTCCGTCAAGTCCTAGGAATTTCAGGTACAAATCTTTCACATTCTCTCTCTATCTTAATATTTCCAAGTGTTTCTTGTAGTTCCTTTGTAATTATTTTCATTATATTTATTTCATGTTTTGGAAGATCACGTTTTAATTTATGTTTCTAACACTTTTGATCTTGTGCTGCCATAATCGATACTCTGGGAAAGTTTCTATCATATACGAAGATTTCCAAGAAAAATGCTAAGTAAATAAAATTCTAAATCATATTAAAAAATGTTAAATATTCAATGGTAAGGTGTTCTAAGGAACAATCTTTTTTTTATGTCCCATCTTCCAGGCTGAGGTTGACAACCATCATGGATATTCTGATCTTAGATATATATTTTGTCCTGAGAAGCTGGATAAATATCTATATCATTCCCGTAAGTTACTCAGCCATAAGATTCTTCTTCCCTGGATTTTTCCTTTTGTAACTAATTGAAGCACATAATATCTTTCGCTGTGCATAACATGTCCCAGATACTGCAGTTTTCTGGTTTTGATGATTTCTATTATTTCCATACTCTATTGAATGCTTTCTTCTCGTGACTTCACTATTTGTTACATGATCAATTAATGATATTTTCAGGATTCTCCTGTACACCTACAATTCAAAAGCTTCTAGATTCTTAATTGTTGTCCCATTCAGGGTACGCCTCCATTCCTTATAGTAGTATCGAGAAAATAGAACACTTTGTCAACCTAACTCTTAAATCCAGCATATCATATCCATTGTACAAAATACCTTTCTCCAGTTTGTTAACTCTTATCCTTTTATCATTATTTTGTGACGATTTTTAAATCTTTATACATTTTGTTTCTTGATATTTATTGAAAGACCATTTTTTTGCATGATGAACTATCTTGTTCATCAGTCTCTACAACTCTTGAAGATTTTCTGTCAAAATAGCAGTATAATCCGCGTAACTAATATTGTTATTTGGTGTTCCATTGACCTTTATGTCAGCAGAGTCTTTTTCAAAATTTTTTCATAGTATGCCTTGAAGAGAAATGGTAACAGTACACATCCCTGTCTCATTCCTCTTTTAATTTGGATTTCTTATGATATTTTTCATTATAGCATACTATTGCTCGTTTTTTATAATACAGATTTTTTAAGATCTGAAGTTCTATAATATATCAAATGCCTTATTATAATCTAGGAAACAGACTTACATATCTTGGTTATACTAATGGTACAGTGATCGTTGCATTCTCTAGCGTTTGTCTTCTTAACGGGGCAAATAATGGTCAAAGTCAACCATTGCTTGGGTATATCTCCTGATTGATATATCACATTAAAAAACTTTACAAAAAAAATCCATGTGTTTCGTTTCTATTGTTTTAAGAACATCAATACGTAATTCGCCTGGTCCAGTACTTTTCTCATTTTAAGTGGTCTTTAGCACATGCAATACTTTTTTATTAATTTGAGTACCTTTCTCTCTTTCTTTGAACGATATGTGCTCTATTTTCCTCTTTCGTCTTCAAAGAACAAAATATGGTTTCTTCTTTGTATCATAATTATTCTGAAGTTCCCCTCAAAGTATACTTGTTTCGTTTCTCTGGATATCGAATATTTTAGCTGGTTTAGATAGATTTATACAGAAATATTTAGTTTTGCTAACGTAATTATATACACTAATTTTGTAATTATTAATTATGTTGGTGATTATTAATACGCATTTCAGATCTTTTTAATTCACTATGTATTCTTATTTATATGAATATCTACTTATGTGAGACTTAATGAGACTTTATGATTTGTTTTTTATTGTTAACATTTGCAACAATAAAAAATTTCTAAAAAATATTTATATTTGCATATTAAAACAAATTTATTGACAGAAAAATATTGTGATTAATTGAATTCTTCTACGGCACATAAAAATGTTTATCTATTTTTTAATATTAATTATATTTTTAATTATAATATTAAAAAAATTAATCAGTGATTGGAGAATGTGTTTATATAGGAATAAGTGAAAAACTTATAGTTGGTATATAATTCGTATATTTTTTTTAAATATTTTTTATTTCCACTCCAGACATGGATTTTAAAAGGAGCATTATCTTCTAACATCTAACAATTAAGGTGAATGTATGTAGTAAATGTTTGTTTTGACTTGTTTGCATGTTTTTAAGTAATTTATTAACCATTACTAATCCATTTACACAGTAACAGCTTGTTTATATGGTAAGATTTTTTTCTTTAAAACTGCTGCACAATTTTGTATAGCCATAGGTCATGTAATTCAAACAGAAACAGCACTAAAACACTTTAAATTAGATCAGTTTTATTTAATTTTAAAACATACGAGTATATACAATTCTTTCACCATTATCAAAATGGATGAATATAGAACATGTAACAATATTATTTGAAGATTAT